CTAAATAGTATTTTATTTAGTGGTACTTTTCTTAAGTGATAGTTCTTCACCTTCTTTGAAATAAAACAGTAAAAGGATTTCATGGGATCAAAATATACAACAGCAGTTTCTTACATTTTGACCTATAACTATACTAAAGTCAATCCTAGGAAAATCATTTCATTTCCATGAAAGCTTTTTTGACTAATGACATTCTACAACTTTTCCTTACAGTTTTGTATACAGTTGTGTTCCATATATAATAGGCAATTGTATTAACATTTAGCATTTATGTATTTACTTTTGTGTATAATTAGGCCTTCGTCTCATTTTACATTCATTCATGCAATATTTTGGTATTAGTGATAAGAACATTAATAAGAACAGAAAGGAAATAAAAGTAAAAGCAGAAATAAATTAGAAAATACAGAGTTGAGTGAAAACCAATGGCTGATTCTTTACTAACACCCACCAAATAGATAAATTTCTGGTAAGTCTGAGTAGGGAAGGGAACAGCTCTCCCTGCTTTCTACCTTAGGGATACAAAGGTACAGAATTCTAAAAACACCATATAATATGTATTCACAAGCCTGACTACATTTTCCTAAGTTACCAAAATTAACTCAGGTAAAGCTGAACAGACGAAACATGAAAGGTAATCAAGGGGCTTCAAGAGGGTAAATCTTGCATATTAGAACATTAAAAAAGATGAGTTTTTCAAAACTCATTCTAAAAAGCTAACATAACTGATATTAAAAAAGGAAAAATCTCATTAAATCAAGCTATGTAAATAGTTGTCATACTGTATTGTCTAGGGAATAATGACAAAATCTCTACATGTTCAGTAGGTATGCAACCATTGTAGGCCAAACTACATAGTACATATCAGTAACAATAACTTTTTTAAAAATATTTTTGATTCACTGTTGGATGAATCTGTGAATGCAGAACCTGCAGATACAAAGGGCTGAATGTCTATGTATACATATAAGCATGTTCTTAGAAGGATATATAAGAGGTATCAGTGATTGCCTCTTGGAAGGTAAATGGTATCTGTGTAACGAGTGGAATAATTACTTTCACTGCCCTTAGGTACTTTGGGAGTTTTTTGACATTTGCATATATCATGTCAGAAAAAAATGAATAGTATGAGGAAATATATTCATAATATAAATATCTCAGACACCTACCAAAAAGTATATGTAATGAATTTTTTATAATGAAAGTTTTATTACTTGAACATATTTAAAATAAGTAAATACTATAATATGAGTTAAAGACAGGTTTTCAGCTAAGGTGGGCTAGGGGGACCATCTTGCCTTCTTAAAATATAAGAAGTTTTAAGTTTTTTTTTTTAGGTGATGAAACTTCTGAAATTACATAGCAGTTATGGGTATACCACTTTTGAATACACTAAAAACCACTGAATTGTACACCAAATGGATGAATTGTATGCTATGCAAATTATATCTTAATAGAGCTGTTATTTTTATTTTTGTCTTTTTTTTTTAATTTTTTTTTTAGAGTTATTTTAAAAGTCTCCTTAAGAGCAAACGAGCTGGCAGGATAGTAGGGAACTAGTAGTCTAAGAATCCAAAAAAATGAAGCTGATCACAGGCAACTACAAACCCTTTTTGGACATGAGGATGTTTGGTGACCCTGTTCTGCTAGGCAGTGAGGAAGGGGACAAGGTGGCATCTTCGTAGGCTAAACTAAATATTCAGACTCACAATACCACCAACAGCCACACGTGACATCAGATTTACTCAGGAGCATATGAGACAGGAAACTCAGCTTGCCAGGAAGGCACTATTATTGGGTGTTCATGGTAGTAGCCCTCACAGAATTCCATATAACCATTCTGGAGCTAGTCTCACTGGTGCTCTGAGGTAACACTTCAGAGACAGACTAGATCCACCTTGCTGGGTATGGGAGTCACCTTGGCATGGAGCTCCATGGCTCAAAGGAGCCAGTATCTCCTGTAACAACTTCATAGGCCTAGATTCCCACAATGAAAAACTGAATTTTGACTTGGTGACAAAAAAAAGACCAAGGTCCACTTGAGTTGAAAAATTTAACATCTTCCTCACATTAAATTATGACACCAAAGGGCTATCACCTTAAGGTAAGGTAAAACAAAAGTAAACTCACTTCCAGTTTTCTCCAAGCAAGATGGCCCTGGCTCTTAGAAGAGCAGGAGTCAAAATAAAAAGTGAAAAATAACATTGAGAAGTGTTGCTCCAGTTCACATTGGGTGGTCTAAGAAGACTCCAGAAGTAATCTTGATTTGAGGTGCTTCATTTGCTGACTGCTAATGTCCCCCTGGCAAATGCAAACAAATCCTCTCTAGAGGGAGGTACCTTCACAGTAGGCCAGAAAGAATCTCCAAAAATAATTCAAGAATAAACAGTACGCAGTAAAAAAAAAAAACCATGCACCACAAAAGAGAATAAGAACAACAGACACAGCAGTGGTAAACTACAACTATGAAATTTTCAGATTATAAAACAACTATAATTATTATGATGAAATAAAACAGGCTTCAAAATACCTGCCAGAAATAGCAAACTATAGAAAGTGATATAGCAGATGAGAACAAGAACCAGATAAAACTTCTGGAAAGGAAAAAATTTACAATAAAAAATTTCAAACTCGATCACCATAGATAAAACCAGAAAAGTAGAATGATGATATTGTTGAAGCCAGGGAACAGATATGAGAATATTATATTTTCTCTGATTTTGTGAATATGTGAATATTATCATAATAAAAATATTTTTTAAGGATGAGTTAACCAGAGGATTAGAAATAATTGAACACTGAATAAGTGAACTAGAAGATAAGTCAGAATCCAGGTTGTAGTACAGTAAGGCAAAAAAGGAAAATACAAAAGGTGGTTAAGTAATAGAAAATTCACTTACGAGTTCTAACATGTATTACTAGATTCCCAGAGAAGAGAAAGATTAGGGCCAGGCCAATATTTGAAGAGAAAATGGCTGAGAATTTTCCAGAACTAATGAAAAATATCCACAGAATCAAGCTCAATGAATCTCATGCAAGATAAATTTAAAAATATAATTATATATATCATAATAAAATTATAGAACAAAAAAACAAAAATTCTAAAATCAGCCAGAGAAAAACATTAGGTTATGCTATGTCTCGGACTACTGGAATTGTAAGCAATTTTAACTTTCTTCTTTACACTTAAATGTGAGCATCTGATTTTGTAACATTACTTTTAAATAAACACATATTAAATTATTTTCATTTTTATCAGTCATGTATGCATGTAGTATACAGAAGCCAATGGTTCTACAAAGCTTATTTTTAAAAAGTAGTCCCCAGCCCTTCTACCCTTCATTTTTCATTACTAAGATGCAACCATTTCATCTTTTAGCCATTTCTAAATAACATGTTTATATTGCATTTTCTTGGTTTTTCAAACCTGGTATTTCTGATCGATAAGCCAGTATGAGAGAGATAATTCAGGTCTTTCATACCTGTCATGGTCAGACTCTTAGGGTGGAACATCTACCTTCTGTGGTTCATATCTAGGTATAATTTTAACCCAACTCAAAGAGAGGTCTTACTTTTGCTGTTAGTTTCTGGGAAATAATCACTAAGCCCTTGGAACATGCCAGAAAGTCTACCAGTGTGATTTATGGTGGGCCTTTGGGTCATACTGCTTGGCTTTTAGAGGAGTTGGAGACTGAACTTAGGCAAGTGGGCAACCAACCACTGAGCTCCAATAAAAACTCTGGATACTGAACCTTAGGTGAGCTTCCCTGATTGGCAATACTCCATGTGTATTATTATACATTGATGACAAGAGAATAACACAGCTGTGATATTCTCTTGTCATCAATGTATAATAATACATTCAGGAAAAGAACAGAAGCTTTGCATTTGGTACTCTCCTGTACTCTGCTCTATGTGTTCTCCCTTGGCTAATTGTATCCTTACCCTGTAATAAACTGTAACCATGAGTACAAAGTTTTCAGTGAGTTCTGTCTTTCCAGTGAACTATCAAAACAGAGTGATTTGTGGCATCTCCTGAAACTGCAGTTGTCAGAAGTGAGGGTGGTTTTGTGGGGGCTGTTTTCCTCCTAATGGTATATACAGCTGGATAAATTGACACACCTTTGAGTGATTCTCCTCCCGACTAGTATGGGTAGAACCTGTGACTTGCTTTCTACCCATTAAATATAGTAAAGGCAATGGGATATACATAATTATGTTTCTGTAATTATGTCAGAAAGATTGTGGTGCCCCTCTTGCTGCTGTCTTTCCATCCCTTGCTGATTTTAAAGAGAGCTGCCATGTTGAAGGCTGCCAATGTTGGAAAATTCACATGGCAGGGAACCGAAGGCAGTTTCTAGCAGCTGAAAACAACCTCCAGCTGAAAGAAGCTGAAATCCAGTCTTAAAATTGTAAGAAACTGAATACTGCCAACAAAAGTGGACCCTTTTCCAGTCATACATCAGATGAGACTATAGCACCAACTGACACCTTGATTGTAGCCTTATGAGACCCTACATAGAGCCATGCCCAGAATCTTGAACCACTGAGACTATGACAAAATGTGTTATTTTAAGTTACTGAGTTTGTGGTAAGTTGTTATACAACAATAGGAAACATACAATCCAACCCTCTCTACCACCACTATCCCACACAAGCACTCAACCTGTTGCCCTATCCTCCCCATAAAATTAATAATTTTTATAAGATTAATAGTTAATGGTTATGTTACTTTAACTTCAAATATACTTACAGGTGAGCAATATTCTCAAATCGGACTATTATTACTTTTCTTTTCACATATTCATTTGTTCCTGGAATTAAAAGGAGCTTGGATGTTTTTGTTTGCCTAGTTTTCTATTTCTTTTATCATTCATTGTCCCCAAAACTCTCTTCCAAATGTCTAACTTCTCTCTTAGTATGTTCAAACAGAGTAAATTGCTAAACAGGATACATGAAATACACAAACCATAAAAGACTGGTAAATTCAACTACATTAAAAATTTTAAAACTTGTTTACTAAAATAGAAATGGTAAAGACAATCCAGACAGTGGGAGAAGTTATTTGTTATGTAGACAACCAATAAAGCATCAAATACTGTCATGCGCCGCTTAACAGTGGGTATACATTCGGAGAAATGCGTTGTTAGGCAATTTCTTCACTGTAAGAACATCATAGAGCACAATTGTAGAAACCTAGATGAGGTAACCTGCTATACACTTAGGCTATATAAAATATATAACCTATTAGCCCTAGGCTACAAATCTGTACAACATATTACTGTGCTGAATACTGTAGGCAACTATACAATGGTATTTGTAAATCAAAACATAAAAAAGGTACAGTAAAAAATACAGTATGAAAGAAAAAATGATATACTTGTATATGGCACTTACTTTGAATGGAGCTTTCAGGACTGAAAGTTGCTGTGAGTGAGACAGTGAGTAGTGATTGAATGAGAAGGCCTAGGACATTACTGTATACTACTGTAGACTTTATAAACACTGTAAACTTAGGCCATCTTAAATTCATAAAACACAAGATTAAATTAAGCACAAGAAAATGATGTAATCAAGAGACATGGTAAACATGAGATGTATGAGGCTACTGCCAGTATAACACAGCATACCGTTTTACAGTAAACTTTTTTTTTTGAGTAGAAAGAGTACACTTTAAAATAATGATAAAAAGTATAGTAAATACATAAACCAGTAACACAGTCATTTATTATCAAATATTATGTACTGTACATAACTGCATGTGCTATAATTTCATACAACCGGTGGCAAAGGTTCGTTTACACCAGCATCCCCACAAACACAAGAGTAATGCACTGTGCTATGACGTTACCATGGCTACAATGTCACTAGGTGATAGGAATTTTTCAGCTCCATTATAATCTTGTGGGATCACTGTCATATATGTGGTCTGTCATTATGTAGCACTTGATTGTATCTAAAATATATAAAGAACTTCTACAAAACAATGAGAAAACAATAAAATACCCAAAAAGAAAAAGTGAAATATAGGAATAGGAAAAAGTTAGCAAACAGCAGCTGCCACTAGGTTAAATGCTACCCAAGCACAGAAGAAAGTGGGTGACATTCTTATCTCATACCCATTTCTTTGAGTTTTGTACCATGTGTATGTATTGCCTTTTCAGAAATACACATAAAAGTGGAAACAATAAAAATAAATAAGAGAAAATAAGTTATAAGTTTTATATTTAGCCACATATATTAAATTACTCAATATTATCCTATAAGATTATGAATTTCCTGAGACATGTAGAGACAATGTAGAACTTTTTTTATTTCCTTCTTACCTATCTTACCACATGGTTTCCAAGTATATTTGTACATTGAACAAAGCCCACCAGATTTATGGAGGCGATAATCATTTCTAATATTGTCTCTTGCAACCTTCCACACATTTGTGCTAGGCGAGACATGGCAATCAATAAGTACTTGACGATTTTAATTAAGGTGATATGTATTCTCTCCTTTTCATTCCAATCTGGTAAAGTTTTTAGATTTTAAGTACTCTTTTGCTTTGTATTCCTTGACTAATCTCTTAACTAGGATAATCAACCCTTTCATACTAATTAGAGTTTAGTAAGACAAACTGAAAACTGAGTAATTATTTATATTTTTTCATTAATCATTGCTGTGACAAACTTCAAACATTTAATTATTATAAAGTCACTATAATTCTTGATTCTTTCTAAAAATGTAATTTCAAAACTCACTGAAAAAGTGGAAATCCCTTCAATCTTTGATATTCAATTTCCTTTGACAGAAATGCTTTACTCATTTTCTTAATTTGGTCTGGAGAGAATAGATTTACTCCAGGAATAAAAAAATGCTTAAGATGTTCTGTCCTGAGGTACTCAAGAAAGTATGCCACACAGTGATCAAAGCAGTGTTCCAGGTCTTTGACTTGCCACTGATTGTCATATGGTTGCTGGGTACATATGTGCAAGAAGGCAGTTTTCACATGATAAGAACAGAATTCATTCAGGCACCTTTGGTTTCCAAACTTGTTTTTCAATTCTTCTAAAAGATATTTCATTAGTTTTAAACAATCTTTCCTGTTGAATTAAAAAGAAAACCATTCATTTTTACTAATTAACAACCTGCTTCATTCCACAATGAACTTTAGGCATCCTACAGGAAAAACGTATAAAGATACAATAAGCAATACAGATAGTATCATACATATAGTGATGCAGATACAGATAGTATCATACATATAGTGATAGTATCAATACATATAGTGATGCAAAAAATAAAGATATAGAGTCACTCTAAAACCTATTTTTTCAAATATATGCTTTCGGTTTCAAAAACATATTTTTTCTTCCCTCTTTCCCATTCCTAGCTTAAATATTTTATCCTATTGGAATTAATTCAACTATATGAAACTGGAAGATATTTGTATTAGTTATTCAGTTACTTATTATTTTCAAAAATTTTGTTCCAATTTTTATACAGTGATTTTGCCTTACTAGACTACAAATATTTACATTATTCATCTACTTATTTGACAAAATTTAATGTTTTTAAAATTATTTAGCCATATTACCAACAATATTTTTTTCTGAATGCTGGTTTCAAAGCCTATACATGAAGCCTGAACAACAATCCTTTGGCTGCATGTTGGGTATTCTTGTTTTGACCTTTTAATTTTTGTGACCCTATACTGGACAACATTAGAAACTGAGATTAAAAAGGAATTGTTCATTCAAGTTTAGCCAGTCAGTCCCTGGCCTTCAACGCAGTCAAACCATCTCAAAGCAAGCACCAGTATCCAGTAAGAGTGATCTTTAGGCATCCTTCCATCATGTGACATTAATATTCATTACCTTGAAGCAACTGGAATACTAAGACACATACAATTGTCATGGCTAATTATGGCTAGTGTTTACACTCTCTTACTCTGTCCTACTTTATACATCCATCTGATCCAGGTTCAGGAATGTTTCCTG